GAATTTTAGTCTGGACCACCTGACTAATGAAAGCTATGTTTGATATTTCTCGAGAACTAAAGCTTGTAAAGAGCTGAAAATTCACGTTTGTACTTCTACAGATTTGTAGTAAACATCTACTTATGTGGGGACGACACAGCATCACTTTTGCAAAAGTAAGAAAATTTTGTTTTTTTCGATTTCTAACAGAGGAAAAAATACGGCAATAGCGTACATATACTTCTTATGTGGATAGTGTTTACGTGAGTAAGTTAGAATTTTTGTAGATTTCTTACGAACTGAATTCTGATTTTTCTTAATTTTTTGGGCAGTTGAATCTTTTTAGTTTTTGGCTCGAAACACGAGGTGGATCAAGCTGTTGTTAAAGCAAGATGGTCCTCTTGTAGAGCTTGCTTTGCTCTATCGAACGGTACCTTGAAAGCTATTCAGAAGTGAAAAGTGTACGACGAAAAGAGTGTATGTTGCGGTTGAAATTCAAAAAGGACATTAATTTCCGGACAACCTAATACTTTGACTCAAGATTGCACGAATTGTTCTGACTTATGATATCATGTACACTAACTTTTGTAAAGTGCAAATATCCCGTTTTTCATAATACGATTTCACTCTGCTATTTTATATTCCCCCTCTTTTTTCCAAATCAATGGCCTTGATGTGGCGTGATGAAGATAACAACATTTGATAGTCTTCCTGTGTATGACACAAAAAGCTCAAATCGAGAAAAAGATTTGCTCAACAATAATTTCAGCGCTGCGAAAGCAGCATACATACTTAGAGTCTGAATAGCAATGAATTGCAAAGAGAAGTAGCTGAAGCAAGGTTTGTAACTTTTTACCTTGTTTTTTCAACACAAGGTGTTCTTCGAATCTGAATTCGATCCGTAAGCGCTTGTCCATTCGAAAATACCCGTTATGCACATACACACCATTGTTTGTCCCCACTTTTTATTGAAGCAATCTTGCGTGCACTAGTTTCAGAGTGAGGGTTGTTGGGTTACACCAACGAAGGTTCCCATTAGCATCCACAAAAATGGCTCGCACTTCGTTAGGCATCGAAATCCATCGCTATACGTTGTACATGATTTTCCACAAAAATCATTGAGATATACCAGAAAATGTTCTGGCGTTGCCAATTTATCTGTCGGTACTTCCATTCAGATGGCAAAGAAGGAATGGGCTAAAATATGTTTAGAAATAAACTAATTCTGTATCAATCTTCACCTAAGATGAAGGACGTCTTCTGCAACCGGATCACTATGACATTTTTCAATAGAATTCAAAGCCTGACAAGGATTTATTGCACTTTATGGAGGCAGTCTCAGATATGTTGGATTTACAGTTGAAACTCGATCTGCACTGTTCAAATCTTGCTTTGGAGGATGATTAGTTAGAACATCATTCATGAACGCTCCCTGGTTACAATAATCATGTTCCTCTACTTCTATTAAGTTGTCCCAAAAGTAAGCTCTCCATTTTCAAATAAGTTGAGCTGTTCTTGTTTTCCTGATAAACTTAAGGTAATATTCGATAGAGCAGAGCAAGCTCTACAAAAAGACCACCAAAGACCTACCTAGTTCGTAATGCAGACAAAATTTGAGACCAAAAAAATTTTTTCAGCTACCCAAAATCGGATCTCCTTCCAGAAAATTTCTACGGACTTCCAACTTGGCCTTTATATAGTTGACACATAGTTGTACCCGAAAATCAATTTGTCGAATTTTTCTCGGGGCTCAAAATTGAGAAAAAAGATGGTTTGAATATGCCAAAATGCCTCTTTTTCGGTTTTTTTTCAAATGTAAAACTTGGTATTTTTCGATTATAAGAGCACATACAGGGGTAAGGCTTTAACATTGCACTTAGTAAAGCTTGTAGGATACAATATATGTGGGAGGGGCTGGGGGCGGAAATTGCCATTTTGGGACAATTTCTGTTTCTCGCTTTCTATGCAAAATTCGGCAAAAGCATATTTGAGTACTCGTGTGCGCCTGCTGTATAATGACCAAGTTGAAGTTCCGTAGGGCTTTTCCTGGCGAAAATCCAATTTTCAGGTGACAAAATTTTTTTCGATTTTGGCTTCAAACTTTACATAAAACGCGACTAAGACGAACCCTTGGTAGCCTTTTTGTAGAGCTTGCTCTGCTCTATCGAATGATACCCCAATAAAGCAAAAACAGCTTTAATTATTTAAAAAAGGAGTTTACTTTTGGAACAACCTAATAGTATATGGCAAAATGAGGTTGAATTGCATTATTCCGATGTATGTAGGGACATCAAGGTGCTTGTCAAGATCTAGCGTTATGACATGTCTACCATCTGTGTTTCTACTGCACTTTAATGTAAACATATTGAATAGGAGCGAAAAGTTGTACAAGCCGTTTTCCAGGTTTTTGTATGACCCCTGTGGCCGTATTCATCAACGAACCCCGAGGGTTAAACTAACCCTGGAGGGTTAGTTTAACCCTGGAAAGCGTTTAACCCGTATTCATGAAGCACAGGATAGGCTTAACCCTGAGGGTTAAATCTAACCTTGAGGGTTAATTCTATCCCGAAAGCGACTAACCCGTATTCATCAACGAACCGTGAGGGTTAAAGTAACCCTGGAGGGTTAAACTTACGTGATTCATCAGCGTGTAAGTTCTACTTTTGCGCAGTTCGTTTTATACCGGGCTTGTGCTACTCTTTTAAGGGTCAATGCGTGCTATCATAAAGGAATTCTTCTGTATTGGCACTTGTCAGAGTGGTATGCGCAACCATTTTTCAAACGTTAATTTAACCCTAGCTCAGAGCAAGGTTAACTCTACCCTAACACATCATACAAACATTTACTCGCACCTAATAGTTTTATGGAAAACTATCAACGAGTGTTGTAGTATTTAGTGCTAGTTGTTGTTATAGTATCTGGTTTCGACTTCGTTTTATGTTCAAATTCGAATATGAAACACTGACTTTGCGAGAAAAAGATTTCTAGCTTTGGTGACAAATGAATGCAACGAGGAAAAATGGTTGCGCATACCACTCTGACAAGTGCCAAAACAGAAGAATTCCTTTATGATAGCACGCATTGACCCTTAAAAGAGTAGCACAAGCCCGGTATAAAACGAACTGCGCAAAAGTAGAACTTACACGGCACAATTGCACACGTGAAAATAAACTCACGCTGTAAGATTGGATGCTGCACAAATATGCTAGAGATGTATTATAAAAGCTAGTGTTAGAAGCTTACTTGTTGGTTATACTACTATAACAGTGAAAGAATAGAAGTATAAGTGAGTTTAGCACGTACTTAGGCATTCTGTGATGTGAGTTTGCACAGCGCACGCGAGCTGACGCCTTAACCCTCCAGGGTTGATTTAATTTAACCCTCAGGGTTCGCAATACGGCCACAGGTTCGTTGATCGATACGGATGGATTGCGTTTCGTGGTAAACCCTACCCTATGTTGATGACGGCCAATGAACCCTGAGGGTTAAACTTACCCTCCAGGGTTAAACTTACCCTTAGGGTTCGTTGATGAATACGGCCACTGGTGATCTCCGACGGGCAAACGTCTTTTCTTCAAAGTTAATTTTCTCCTTCAGACTCATTGGAAACATCCCAAAGATTTACGGTTAATCTAACCCAACAGTCGAGTAGGATTTAATAATTGTTATCTATGTTGCAACAAATTTGTCTGTTTCTATTTGATTCGATTTAATTATGAAACTTACAAGAGTTTCAGGCCCGATCTCTTTAGTCCAAGCTCTGAATCTCTTGTAAATCTGATTTGCTTAAATCTCAAGATTTAAGCAAATCAGATGTCAAAACAGACAATTTATTGCAAAATAAGGAACATTAAATCATTTGATGGCTAGTGATTATAGTATTCGATTTGCTAACGTTTTCGGCCACCTGATCGATCGCGTTTGATTGGGTTACGACTTGTACGAGAACACTTGTACGAAGCGAGGTTGATAGCTACCGCTCCAGAACTCAGACCAGCCATTCCAGATATGCCGTATATCGCTGGACTCGCCTTGCAACGCTGATCTTAAATATAAGTTTACCGTTCGTCACTTCTGCTACGCAGAGGCTCGCACTGGTTCTACTCTCCACATGCCTTCCTCGTAATCGCAAAATGATGGCTTTCAATCTTATGCCGATCATCACGAATGAACTCTAGGCAACTGCTCATTCCAAAAACTTTTTCATGTAAAGGTCACTGGGGGGGGGGGACGAAAGTTTTCTCCAAAAGATTAAATGCGAGTTTGAATAAGTTAAAGGCCGTCCGCGCAGAGCGCGGACAGTGCGCAAGGTGTGTATTGCGCGTCACTCCTCTTTCCCCGTGCACTCTCGCCGCATGTTTTTCTCTCCGCCCGTACTATCTTCACTGTACGCGACAGCGTTACTCTCCGAGCACAGCGCGGACGGCCTATACTGGAGTTATAATGGCTTGTCAGTCACCATAAGAACGATGACAGCTGTGAAGTACACTTCCTAAGAAAACATCTTCTCCAATTCTTGGATAAAACGATGGCAAAATGGCTATCCGCAATTATTCTTTTTGGCCTCAATATTGCGTGAAAGTAGACTTTTTGTTTACTTTTCGGGCGGAGTGCATGGTGCGATTTACTTGTCAAACAATCTACGACTTCGGAAAAAGTCTAATTACAGGCCCACTTTGGTGCACCAAAAGTTGCGTGGATTCGTTTGGCGCACAGCTTTCACAGGTTCCACTTATCGGATCGTTGTGCTTTTGCACATTGTCTGCATGCTGGTAAGGTGCTGAGACCAGAATTCTAGCTTAAAGCCTTTACTGGAACTCGCTCCAAGAATTTCGTGACAGACAGACATGCACACAGGCACACAGACGGATAGGTAAACAACCGTTAGCCCGATATTATTAAATTATAGATCATCTGCCAAACACTATCTGGAAGGAGTTATGAGCGTTTAAATATGAGGACGTTTTAGACTCTCAACGAACATAGGTTGCTGGCAGACAGCCTGACGGTTACAGTGTGTCATGGAACGGCTTACGATACACAAGGAATTACTGCACGATAGACAAGTAATTATTGAGCTAAACTCTTGTTTTGTGGTCGTATTTATCATAGAAAGTATGCTTAACGCACCTGTTCCACAGCGCCAAGGAAAATGATAACCGAAATACTCCAAGGAATCGTCGAGCGCAGTGAGAAGCTGCTTTATCATTTCTCTTGATAATTTGCATTTCTTTTTCATATCTTTTCATAACCTCTATCATCAAGATATATAAGCTTGCAGTATGGTAGAATCATATTTTCTGACTTCGAGTTTGATCAGTTTTTTATTCCTTTTCCCACTAGTTTCAAGCGATCATGAAACAAGTATAAAAAACATGTATCGAGTAGGAAAAAGACAACAATTGTCGTGGCAATTTTGATTGGCACATATATTTTTTACCATTTATTCCTGTCATTATCATTTCGGCATTGACACTCATTCGTTATGTAGTTCTAGTTACATGTTTTATATCTTTGTTTTATGTTTATTTTGCTGCGTTTCTTTTATCTTTTTTGAAGCAAATGCGGTTCAATTACCCAAGTTCGAGTTAAGGTACACTACACCACATACAAGCCCGCGTGGCAACTATCAAGTATCGTCGTTTCCCCGAGATAGATGGGGCGTGTCGCTGCACAAGTCCGCAAGTGTACGTAGATGATACGGTATTAGCCGCGGCGCATAATCGATAGCGCCGAAAAGCTGATGATTTTCCGACGCTGCAGCGATCGGTGGGTTTTTAATGCTGAATCATGCTTTTTTTTCAGATTTCGATGCATGTTGCTAGAGGTGAGTCTTGAGTGTTCATTTACACTTATTTCACATTATTTTCTCAGTTTTGGCGCATTGTTGGTGTGTATATTGAACTCTGCGTGCATAATGCATAATGCGTGCTTTCACTTCTTTTTTTTACTTGTTTGTTGTGTTTAGTAAATTTCCTTTTAATAATTCATCGTTTATCACTTCATTGTGCTTACCTGTGTTTCCTGTTCATGTTGTTTTGTTCAGGTTCCAAGTTTATGATCGTAGTTGAGTCTCACCTCCGATGGTGTATCTGAGATCAGCGTTTTAAGCTCTATCTATTGGTATAGATCATCTTCCGAATCCCACTTCGACTAACAAGGGAAGTTCACTTAGTCGAAGTGGCGGTTCGGAAGAGGATCTATACCAATGGATAGAGCTCAAAAAGCTGATCTCAAGTATATCTTCTATATCTGCGATGCTTTGTTCTTAAAAAAATTATGAGCTTTTCTAAAGCCAAATTTTAGTGCATTTTGAGTCGCAAAATCAAGATATTTTCTACAAAAAAGTGTGCAAGCTTAAGCAAACCACCTAGTAAGCATTGCAGATCTAATTCGAGCTCATCCAAACGCTTTCGAGTATTTTTCGACCATGTTGTTCATCCACAGGTCGTCATTTCATCCTTAAATCACACTTCCATTATGTGTACAAAAACCCCATAAACTCCGTTTAGAAAAACGCGTAGCGTCGGACACTTTATGGAAACTACCAATGGATAGGACGTAAAACGATGTTCTCAAATATATCTTCAGTATCTGCAACGCGTTTTTCTAGACGGAGGTTATAGGCTTTTTTGTATATATAATGGAAGTATGATCTAGGAAAGAAATGACGACCTGTGGATAAACAGCATGGTCGAAAAACACTCGAAAACGTTCGGATGAACTTGAATTAGACCTACAATGCTTATTAGGTGGTTTGCTTAAGCTTGCACACTTTTGTGTAGCGATTATCATGATTTTGCGACATAAAATGCACGAAAATTTGGCTTTAGAAAAGCTCATAACTTTTTTCAGAACATTGCGTCGCAGATATAAAAGCTATATCTGAGATCAGCGTAATAAGCTCTATCCATTGGTATAGATCTCCTTCCGAATCGCCACTCTGACTAAGTGAACTTCCCTTGTAAGTGAACTTCCCTTGTTAGGTGTGTGGCAGTGGCGTACCCAGGATTTCGGCTCGGAGGGGGGGGGACAAAAAATTTTTCAATGAAGGTGCGTGGCGTCAGCCACGCACTCCGAAAATTTTTTTGGATGTTTCCCAGAATTTTTCCGGGCCACTGACCCCGAAATTTCAGAAAAAGGGGGCAAAGCTAATTTAAATTTTAAAATTATTTTAACTATTTATAAGTGTAAACAAGTCCTCTGCACATTTTTATAACACATTTAAGTAACTTTCAAAAATTCCCCCCTCCGCCCTTCTCCCTCGGTACGCCGCTGGTGTGTGGGTGTGTTGGGTGTGGGATTAGGGTGTGGTTATGAGTGTGGGTATGGGTATACGGTTGGCGGGGTAAGGGTATGGGTATGTCTATATGTATGGGAACAAACAACTCGCTTGCACATTTTTATAACCCATGTAAGTAATATTTAATGTCCCATTCTCGGAGGGGGGAGAGGGAGAGGGGGGGGGGAGCCCTCGGACTGCCAGCGGTATGATTATGTGTATAGGTATGGGTATGTTTATGGTTATGGACATGGGTGGATAGGGATTAAAAAATTGTAAAAAACTGTATTAATTTTTTGTGGAAATTGTAAAGATGAGAAAATGTATTAAGTCGGGACGACAAGCTCTTGCGCAGATTTTCAAAAACTCATAACTTCTGATTTTTCGAACCGATTTGACTGCTTTTATTTTGCGAAAGAGTAAGTCATGTTCTTTATAATGACACCTTAGTTGCTTGCTAATGATCATCTATTGCATAGATAGGAGCGATAGAAGAAAATTGGTCAAATTTTGAATTTTCTGTGTAGGGTCATAAAAAATCGGAAACTTGCAACAAAAATCGGTGCAGTCGGTACTGTAGGTTCTTTCACCAGCTCTTTCTGACAGTGTCTCTATAAAATGTTATGATTTTCGAGCAAGCAATATAAAAGGAAATTGATTTATTTTGGCATTTTTCAGAATAATCGTAACTTTTCATAGAGACGCTAAATCGGCGCAAACTTTGCACTGTAGAAAAGAGGTGGTGAAAGAAGCTACAATACCGACTGCTCCTATTTTTATTGCAAGTTCCCGATTTTTTATGACCCACAAAAAATTCAATTGACCAATTTTCTTCTATCGCTCCTATCTATGCAACAGATGACCGCTAGTAAGCAGCTGATTGTAAGATGTCATTATAAAGAGCATAACTTACGTAAGATGTCCTTACAAACTCATAACTTACCCTTTTATACAAAAATAAATGCAATCAAATCGGTTGGAAAAATTAGAAGTTATAAATTTTTGAAAATCGTGCGTAAGAACTTTCGGGACGACCTAACATATGTGCGAGAATGTTTATGTTATGAAGCAATCATGTGAATAAGCATTGACTAATGTATCAACGCTCTTCTGAAACGCCCTACCCTTTACTTTTATTTTCGGGACTTTTTCACTGGACGATTACAGCGGATGGACCATTGCGACGTATAGGAAATTGTTGTGTTTAGTACTGATCAGTGTTCCTCATAGTGATCTGCCTCGCGTAGTCGATCGCAACCTCAGTCTCCCGCCAGAGTGCCGAAGCCATGCCAGCGCTACGCCAGCGCTGAGCCAGCGTTTCGATCGATACGCGTGTATTTCGTTCGGGACATCTACCTGCTGAGAACTAGGTCAGCTAGCCCCGCCCCAACGAAATACACGTGTATCGATCGAAACGCTGGCTTGGCGCTGGCGTAGCGCTGGCATGGCTTCGGCACTCTGGCGGGAGCCTCAGGGTGCGCGGGAAATGAGCGCTATAAAAGGCGCTCACTCATAGCCTCAGTTAGTTTAGTTGTTCACTCATTAGCCTCTCAAATTTACTGTTCATATTTACTGCTCTATTATTCTTTGATAAATATTTCTTATGCTCCTGTGCCGTCCAGACGAAGAGCGTCCGAAGCTTGGAGGACACAACAAAAATCATCATTTCAAAAGGATGGTTTTGTGAAGTACACAACTGATATTTTGTTTGTTTGCCTCATTTTGGGATACTGTGAGTGGATAGACAAGGTTGGTCAAGCAGTAAAGATGGCTGAGTATTCGATATTCTCTAAGTATCAAGTCTGGTTCCCCACACCTTTTCAGGTCTTTTGCGCAATATTACTAATAATACAATGTTTGCCTAGGACTGAGTCTGAAAAAGGTCCAGTTCTTTTTGTCATTCTTTCTTATTTGTGTATAATGAATCGAAACCTTGCAGAATTACTCTATTTCAAGTTTTCTGAGGTTCTTGCTCAGGTTGTTCATTACATGTTTTGGCTACGATGCTCAAAGTTGTTTCTTAACGTCTTCGATGTTTTTAACAAAAAATTAAGTTTTTTTTGCCAATCGAAAACCTGCTCTGGCAAGTCAAGATTTTTGAAACCTACTGTCTCGAATCAAGCGTTTAGAAATTTTTTAAATGTAATCTTTCTTGATTGCGGGACTCAAAAGTGTATGTAAAATTTTTTCTGGTGCAATTCAAAAGATGCCGTTAAAAGGGAAATTTGTAGCATAACTAGCTTTTGAGAATGATTAAATCCATGATATTGTTTGGTTATTATAAGTCCCTGCATTCTTTCAAAGTAACAAAACAATATTGACTGTATAATAATTTCACTAAAGTGTGTTTGTTATCTACTTCCCTCTATTGGTCCACAATGAATCACATGATGTAGTCGCGCGATATTGGACTATTTTCTTTGTCTTCACAAGAAGAACCTGTGTTATCTAGAAGAATTAACACCGCATCTTCAAAATTGCAAAAATTCCCAAAAGTTATACATCAAGTAGGACTGGATCTTTATAGCGTCAATAAGACTAAATATAAAAAACATTGGGTATTCTACTTCAGAGCTTCCTTTTTGAAAAATCTTCAATTTTCTCAGCCTCGACTTACTTGAAAGGTGTAAAATTTGATTCTGAAATTCCAAATCTTCAGAATCTATAATTTTTTGAATATGTAAACGAAGTTGTAAGAGGATACACTTTGACTACCATTGAGTTATTATATCGCCCAATAAATTTTCACATTGTTTGGCTATAAAAAATACAGCAGTATTTTGTTATTTCAGCATGGTTTTTTGACTAAGTGCGTGCCTTGATGTGTAGTGTCACTTCTTATGAAATGAAAGCTGTATACCATTACTATTTTAATCAGAATTGCGCATGCTAAGCGTGTGATCGGTGCCATTTCGTATCACTTTATGTTAGCAATTTATCAAAATTTTTAGTATGGCCGAGAAAAGAGAGTTATCAGGATTCTGTCAATACGAAAGTGTTACTTGTATGGTCGGGTAGGGGTAGAGAACTCTTGCAAAAAGCCGTCGATAGAATCCTGAATGAATTCACAGTAAATGTTTAAAGTGAGTGAACTATAATTATAACTTCATTGGATTAGTGATCTATTAATAACAGTAAATAGTGACAATTTTAAAATACTCAGCGGAAAAGCCTTTGGCTTTTACCTGGCCGACTTCAGCAGGGAAATAACAAAATTCGAGCAGTGAGACTAATTTATTAATCTTTATTCTTATTTTTATTTTTATTTTCTCCTCTAATTTGATAACTTTTGGTTTAGGCCAAAGTATCGCTCGAATTCTGGAAATACTTCATCAGTGCGGGCAGAAATTACAAACAAAACAACAAAGATGTGCGTATTTCCCGAGAGCAAGCATTGAAAGTCTCGGAAACGGAAGAGCAAGGGGTATTTGGTTTTATCTGATTTTTGTAACCATTAACCAAGGTATTGATTTTGATGTTCACAGCCTATATATCAGGAAATCTATTAAGTCTAAACGCAAACGTCCAGAGATAACATCCGAAAAAGGAGTATACATTGGTAAGGGTATGATATTAGGTTGTCCCGAAAGTTTTGTCGGTTTTTCCAGACCACTGTAAAACTACGCACAATAAAGACCTGAGTGAGTTTCAACATGCATTCGATGCAGCTTTTCCTTCTCTTTCTCAAGGATGCACTTTCATACCATAATGTTATATGCTTTCTTTGGTAATTGCCGAAATTCTCCACCTGTCAATTTTACCTGCTCAAAGTTGAGCTAGTTTTTAAAAATTTCGTTACAAAGTTTCGAAAAAGATCAAGTATGGCTCAAATAGACCAACTCTCGGGCTACAAGATGATATTTTTAGATTCTCCTAATTTGCTGATTTTGACTTCAAAAAATTATTTCTTCTGAGGTCACGATTTTTGGCTAAGTCATGAAACGCGCAATTGCAGCAAAAGCATGAAAGCTTTGAAGTTTTCGCGAAGTTAAACTTGGTTGTTATTAAACATCATTTATGCATCATAACCAAGTTTGATTTGCCTCAAAAATCAACTTTTTGGAGTTTTCGGTAATTTTACGTGGTAAAACGTGTTCAAAAAGCCGCGGTTTTTCTCAAATAAATAATTATTACGGACTCGACAAACGTGGCCCACGTAATCTAAAATAGTCACATCGTAGCCAAAGGTTTGCCCTACAAAACAGTTCCAAGCGCTCATCGAAAATATCAAGATAAAAATTTTGAAAATTCAGGAAAGTTTTGGCGTTACTGCTGAGGAGCTCAACAAGCCATGGCGATAACATCGCAAAGACGGGATAGATCACGGAACAAATATAGCTATAAGAAAGAGGATAAAAATATGAATAGAATGACACCTAGGCCGTTCATGGAATGGTGTTCTGTGAGGTTTGGTGAGCGATGAAAAAAACCGACAAAACTTTCGGGACAACCTAATAGATTCAACTATTTTATTAGAAACGTTTTTGATACTCTGCTGACCTCAGTCTTTGACCTCTCATATAGCGGCCATCAAGTTCAATATAAATATGTCTGCATGGATCGTACCCTTAGAGGATTTACTATGCCCAACAGAAAATATTCCACGGAGGTAATCCTGGATAATGAGTATGAGTTGTAAGTGTGATCAAGACAAAGAATAAAAAATGCATACCACAAGTCGGAAAAGTTGGAATTTATCGAAAAACCCAATATTTTGACGATTCATTTGTTTCTAAGACATGCTTAGCACTGCTGGGATAGAGTATCACTGAAGTTTGGAATGTTTTCGTTTTGTTCGGAAAGAAAAATGATTTGAAGAAAAGACGGTTGGCCGCTGGATATCATTAGGAGATTGCTCAAAAACTAGAAAATGCGGACTGTACACTTCTCGCTGCTGTTGAACATGGAGTAAAGAGTAGTAGAAGCACTTGAAGATGAATAGACAACAAGAAATCGGGATGTCCAGAGCTTCAGATTATGTAGCTTTCTTTCAAGCTGCGATCCCTTCCCCAGTGGAGATGTAAATGCTGCAGCCTCAAGTCGCTTATGGGTCGCCGCACTTCAGGGTTTGCGACGACCAATATTTCTTATTCATTTCTCTACGACTTGAACCGTATTTGAGCTCAAAGTCACAAAAAAAAACAACAACAACAACAGCAGTCTGCAATTTGCGAAAACTGTCTGGAGCACATATCTTTGAATTCAAGATTGTTCTCAAATTCGCTTGGGGTGTGTTGTATCTCTAAACTGTCATATCTTACTCTTGATTCATTTGAGTTCCTCTGTAATTTTGAGCTCCCTCTCAAATATAAATAGAATACTCATGCATTAAGATGGTGAGATAAGTATTTTTTTACTGTGAAATGCCGATGTAAGTTTATGTTTATTCGACTTTCATGATGTTTCTTAAATTCAGGTATAATTGGCCCAAAGCGCTACATCTATTAGGTTGTCCGGAAATTAATGCCCGTTTTGAATTTCAACCTCAATAAGTCATACACTTCTTTCTTCTGAATAGGTTGCAAAGTACCATTCGATAGAGCAAAGCAACTCTACAAGATGGCCATCTTGCTTTTGCAACAGCTCTCATCCACCTCGAGTATCAAGGCAAAAAGTAAAAAGACTCAGCAGCCCGAAAAATCGAAAAAAATCGCAACTCAGTTCATAAAAATCCTACAAAAATTCTAACTTGCTCACGTAAACACTATCCACATAAGACATCTATATACGCCTTTGCCGTATTTTTCCCTCTGTTAGAGATCAAGAAAACGGAAATTTTCGTGCATTTGCCAAAGTGATGCTGTGCCAACCCCACATAGGTAGTTGTATAGCACAAGCCTGTAGAAGTACAGACCTAAATTTTCAGCTCTCTACAAGCTTTAGTTCTTGAAAAATTTGAATTTTAGCTTGGAGCACTCAACTAGGGAAAGCTATGTTCGGTATTTCTCGAGAATTAAAGCTTGTAGAGAGCTGAAAATTTAGGTCTGTACTTCTACAGGCTTGTGCTATACAACTACCTATGTGGGGTTGGCACAGCATCACTTTGGCAAATGCACGAAAATTTCCGTTTTCTTGATCTCTAACAGAGGAAAAAATACGGCAAAGGCGTATATAGATGTCTTATGTGGATAGTGTTTACGTGAGCAAGTTAGAATCTTTGTAGGATTTTTATGAACTGAGTTGCGATTTTTTTTTCGATTTTTCGGGCTGCTGAGTCTTTTTACTTTTTGCCTTGATACTCGAGGTGGATGAGAGCTGTTGCAAAAGCAAGATGGCCATCTTGTAGAGCTTGCTTTGCTCTATCGAATGGTGCTTTGCAACCTATTTAGAAATGAGAAGTATATGACTTATTGAGGTTGAAATTCAAAACGGGCATTAATTTCCGGACAACCTAATAAATTATCTGTAACCAATGCGTCACCTCCTCTTCGCAGAGGTTTGCAATGGTTCTCCTATCCGTATGCCTTTCTCATATTCGCATAATGTAACTTTGTAACTCACCATGCGTTGTTGAACATCACAAATGAATCGTAAAGAACTGTTCATTTTTGAAGCATTTCTCGGTAAATTTGAGAAAAAACTTTTTTGCAACGGAACACCTGCGAAGTTGAATGGATTACTGAATTTGTTTTGGCTTGGTAGTCGTCATAGAATAAAAGTCACTTTGAACTACATTTCTTTGCAAAAATCTTTCTAAATTTTCAATGTTAAACCTTGCTAAATCGACTATCTACGCGATCACCACTTTTTGGCGCTTTTCACAGAAAAGCAAATTTTTTGAGCACTTTTTAGGCTAGAATTCATGAGGTACGGATTTACTTGCGAGGCAGATTATGGCTTTACAGAAGTTGAATTAGCGACCTAGTTTTGTGTTCCAAAAGACCATGGACCCATTTTTGACGCGCAGATTTTGAAGGACCCACTTATCGAATGGGCTCGTCCTTGTGCATGGTGATCATACATGCTGGTGTGGTATGTTATATAAAATTGTAGCTCCGTAGCTTGGCTCGGGCTCCCCCATGAATTTTGTGGCACAGACATGCACATAAAAAGAGACGCTTACAATTAGGGCTTTATTATAAGTCATGATTACCGCATCATTATGCCCAATGCTCTTTTCAACTTACAAGGGAAGGATACTTGGTCACCGCAGCCATTCATAATGATTTATATACCACAAATGCGCTTTATAATGCTGGTTCGAAAATTATCTTCCATATTGCGAAATGATAATCTGGATGGAGTTAAGATTATTTTTCCATGAATAAACTGCGTTACTGCGGAGGGTCAAAATCATCTATAAAAAATTTTCTTTTCTTTTCAAATGCTGAATATGATTCAGATAGGTATAATACAACAGTATTTTTCTTGAGATTCTCTTCAATAGCTTCAAATGGAAACTTAGAACAAATTTGGTGATTAACTACACAAAAATACGCAAATTTTCTACGAAAAATAGTTCATAACTTCCTTCAGAAGAGCGTTCCGCAGATATCAAGCACAGATTTGGAATCAGCGTTTCGAGATGCATCTTACAGTATACATCGCATTCCAAATGGCCACGGTGACCGAGTATCTTTTCCTTGTTAGATTAGACCCAGTTTTTCAACGCCACATCGTTGCTACTTGCGGTTGGACACAGAGGAAGGGGGATAGTAGGTAGTATAATGAAAAACCAGGTATGTGCGATTCAACCGATCGCCTGAGCACTACCTCACATATCGCTCGAAAGTGTATACAGTTATGTAACACCATAATGTAACACCACACCTCTTTTATTTTTAGCAGAGTTCGTAACGTGGCGTGTGATCAAACTATCATATCTGTCAATGCTTGCCCATGATAATGCGCTTATTTACTTTTGCCTGCCCTTGGCAGCTCTGGCCCACTTGTACATGGGCACAAAAGTAGACAATAATTCATTTAGCTAGGGTGTATCATGATGCATTTATGTATCATATGTGCAATCAACATAAATAAATATACTATAGTGAGTATAGTAACGATCATCTTTATACTTAACTTGAGCTCCACACCGAACAAGTGAGAAAGAAAAACATCACAAGAATCCAAGAGATAAGTATGGAGTTACCGAAGACAAAGTATATTGTTAGAGAACATTCAGAAGTGAGACTTTCGGAAAAACCATAGAAGTATAGCAGCTGTGAGCCTCGAATTTTGGAACATTGTGATATAGTGTAGATTGGTACCTAGAAACGCCAAGCATTTTCAGATAAATATCAAAGCTACATCTGTGCAAGGAAATTAACAAGAAACATACGCCTTTGATCCTCTTTGCTAAAACCTCTTTTCGCTCGCAGCCTATCAACAGCTCAGAACTGTTCAAAGTTGTGCACGATGCTGATTTTAAGATACTGCGTCCTTGAATAGCAATTCTGATAAAGTTTAGTTGCGGAGGTAATTCGGAAAAACGGGAATTTTACAATTTTGAATCTTACGAATTTGAGATGGGACAGAGGGAGTTTGTACATGGGTAAATGAGCCATGCTATTAGGTTGTCCCATAAGTCTTTTCATATGCGAGTTTACACTGACATAAGTCAGTTCTTCTTATATTCCTAATAATTTGCAGGGCATCATTCGATGGCAAAGCATCTACAAAATAACATCGAGAGTTCGCACCAAGCTTGATCCGCTTGAAGTTTCAAGACAAAATGGAAAAACTCAAAATTTCGAAAAACCAAAAAATCATATCTCAGCTCAAAACATTCCTGCAAACTTCCTAATCGCTCAGTATATACTCTCTTTGCCAGGTACTTTATACACACATTTGCTGCAATTTTCTGATGTCTAGATATCAAGAAGAAAATAGTGCGATGAATATTCAGACTTTGCCCCTAGCGATTCTGTGTTCCAAATGCGGTTATTAGCTTACTCACGCAGAAATGCTGCTTCAAATTTACGACTTGTAGGTGCCCTAGCTTTTACGAAATATCAGTTGAAGGTTCGACTATGAAAAGACTTGTGGGACAACCAAATATTATATTTACAAGTAACATCGAAACAGAAATATACCATTGTTTTTTTTAATGTTATCGAATTTTTTGAAAATTCTAAAGTGGAGTTGGGAGCTTACATGAAATAAGTGAGCTATAGATTCGGTCAAAAGCAGGGAACTAGCGCATGTTAGGCTAGTATATCAGTCTCGCACGAAAACATTTGGAAAATTCACAATTATTTCAAGTTCGATGAAATATTAGGTGGGTGCAAAAGTTTTGTCTGCTTTTTCAACCCACCGCCAAACACGATAGAATGAAGATAAACGAACACTTTAAAGCGTACGGTGCAGAATTTCTTCCTCTTTCCAGCTGCTAAACTATAATTGTGTTTCGTTGCGAGAGTGATGAGATATTTGCTGGAAATTACAATCAGGGTCAAGCTTGTGATGCGACTGTCGCAACGGGGGGTCGTAAAGAGGGTACCTAAGATGGGGGGGGGGGGGGGTCGTAAAAAGAGGTAGTTAGGCTAAAATACCTTAAGTTTAAAAGGGAATCAAAAAGTTAATTAGTTATGTTCTTTACAATAAATCTACAAAAAAAGTAGAAATCAGAATAAAAAAGATAAAAAATCTGTAAAAATTTTCAAAGAAAAACATTTACAAGAGCTCAAAACACTTTTGAAAGATGAATGAGTTGATGAAAATGCTAAATATACCGATTGCCCTAGAAATCTTGCTTCTGAAGCCCTCCTGAAGTCTCACACACTCAACAAAGGCGAATATCTTTACCAGCTGTGACCATCATGAAATTCTAAATCTTTTTGTGAGGTTTTTCAAGGACCCATATAATTTATCTATACTTTATAGATGCTCTACTATATCAGTGCAAAATTTGGTGTTATTCTGTAAACTGTGGATTTTCTTATGATTTTATGTATGGTAGTGAAAAATCAGGAAAGTGGGGTCGTATCTGGGTCACATCTAAATTTCTTCGCAGCTATTGAAACTTGTTGGCTGCAATTCTGCTATAATATGACGCCATCCTCCTACTTTCCCTCATAAAAATTGCAGGCTGTTTTATAACTTCTCTGGTAAGTTACATAATTTTAAGCTCAAAAATCCCAGTTTTTGCTTTTAGGATCGCATCTAAATTTGCGAGAGTCGCATCTAAATTTTTTCGAGCTTACTGCTCCCCAAGAACTGAAACTTTTTTTGTGGATAGTCTGGGCACTATGCTACACAATCTATGCTTTCCAGCCTCTCAGTCTTTTCCTGGCCTTAGTTACGAATTTTCAAACTACCGCGCTCATGCACGTTTTTGACGTCGTTCTGGACGGCGCTAAAACGTTTTTTTCCGCGGAAAAAACTGAAAGAGGTAGGAATTGAGCTTCTTAGTAGAAAACATCTTTTGTAGTTCAAGGGGGGGGGGGTCGTAAATGAGGGTCCCGGACCGCATCAACACGCTTGACCCTGATTACAATCACTCGCTTTTACCATGTCCAACTTTCGCTAATTGTTTAAATTTTTTGTATGAGACCTTTGGAGGAGCCATAACAACCACCAGATAGAGCAAACCTTTTGCCAAGTTATGCAACTTTTTGCTTTTTTTCAGCTGCTTTTTCAGAATTTTGCCAAATAATTTTTCAAAAGTCTTATGTTTTGGAAAGATCGCGTAATCTGTTGTCGCATCAAACACTGAAAAAACTACAGAATACTGAGGTTTCAACACTCGATTATTACTACCGCTACCATTACAAAGTAAATGAGCGATTTTCGCTTAAAAATATGAAGATTTTGAAACATACGTTACGTCAGTGCGCACTCCTGAAATTAGAAATACTGCAATTTTTTCCCACAAATTTCGCCTGTCTCGCCAAGAGAAGACAGGTGTTAGAAAGAGGAGAAAAATTTGCATCGAATGGTGACTAAAGTGTTCAAAATTTTATGTTCTACGAGGTTAAAATAGGCTGAATGTAAAATTTGGTCACCTCAAAAAATAAATCGTAGAAATTCTGAAAGACAAGCTATGGGGCTACAAAAGATTGCTTCAATTGGCAAAAGATTTGCCCTATCTGCTGGTTATTAGGGCTCCTCCGGAAGTCTCGTATAAAAATTTTCAATTGGCAAAAGATTTGCCCTATCTGCTGGTTATTAGGGCTCCTCCGGAAGTCTCATATAAAAATTTTGAAAATTAGCGAGAGTTGGACATGGTACAAAGGAGTGGTTGTAATTTCCAGCAAATATCTCATCTTCTCTCAATGAAACGCAATGGGAATTTAGCAGCTGGAAAGAGGAAGAAATTCTGCACCGGATACGTTTCAAAGTGTTCGTTTATCTTCATTCTATCGTGTTTGGCGGTGGGTTGAAGAAACTGACAAAACTTTTGCACCCACCTAATATATCATTTTGATACATATTAGATAGAGTGAATCTGCTTAAAATTGCTCAAACTTCGTAAATTGAAAGGATATGTAATGTTTCTTTTCTCACCTGAGTTGAAATAATATAATAAAAAAGCACAGCAGATGTTATCGGCTACCACGCCCCCGAAAAATTTTTTTTACAAGGCTAATTTGAATTTTTACATGCTCCCCCCTCGGTACACCAGCCGGCTACACATGCTTTTGGTCTTGCTAAACCTTGGAGAAGAAATTTTCAAATGCGCTATCAACCTAGAAAATCCGCCTCCAAAAAAGCTTGTGAAGTCCATCTGTGCGGCGAGATAGACAAGACCATGGAGTTTAAAAAAGCTGGATGCGAGACCAGTCCAGAAGTAAGATAAGAGATTGTGAGAAGTAGCACTGAAAATTATTAACTCGGTTCCACTTACGACCGATTCAATACTACCTGTTGTGACAAAAGCCACCGTAGCACTGTCGAATAAAAACGAAAATGCCTGTGTAATAAAGCGCCATAAATAGAGATGGGTAAAAATAATGCAAAGCAATGAGGCCATCCAAAGCCACTGTTGTGTGTTGGACATATTGGATTCTTGAATATTCGTTTCAGCAACTTTTTTAGCAACTTGATATACACATACCTATCAGCAAAAGAAATGGGACGGTATACAAAGTCGCGGTCAGCATTATGGTCGGAAAGTCACAAGAAAGCTGTAAGGACTTCTATCAAATTGTTGAGGATAAGCAATGAACTGCAAACCTTGTGTATAAGGAATATTATTGTAGATAACTGTGTTTCTCTGAGGAAGTTTCGAATGTCTTGCTTCTCGTGAGCAACTACAACGGGATTCATAAACTTCTGACTTGACCATATTAATAAAACATCACCCTTCTGTGTAACAACGTATATCCATGGAATCAGTCCAAAATACAGGACCGCTACAGTGAAGCCGACCCTATCGCTTGCTCCCACTCGCTTTTCTTTAGTGAGCGAATTGAAAGAAAAGCTGATAATGAGTGACACGATCAACGCTGTGAAGGGTTCCCATAACGACAGAATTGGAGCATTGATGAACTTCTAGTAGCTTTGCCTAGAAAATTCTTGCATATTTGGTCGCTCTTATTTCAGAGTGACTTACCTGTAAAGCGCTATCAGTGTTTTCAGCACCGAAGGTCTGCAGAGACTGGCATTTACTGGTAGATCTGAGTTTGTCGAACGCGGTGAACATGATTTGTTCTGCTCCCAAAGCTGTACCAGTTTGTATATGCGTGCCAATGATTCTTCAGAAGCGGCTTGCGAAAGGTGGTCATGTGTAACCACATCCACTAATTTGGAATGAGTTCAAAGCAAAATCACGATGAGAAAGCTCAACTTTCAATGGATGCCAGTATGATAGAGAATTAAGCTATTAGGTTGTTTCATAAATTCGTAGCGTTTTCATAAACCAAAACATCGCCAATTTACTAGGTAAGAGCTTTTGACTTAACACATTCTTGTTAGCTTCTCAATCTCAATTTTTCAAACGGCAGCGCGCCGGGAAGCGTTCCAAGAAAGTCATCTAACGGGCACTCAGACTAATTACTGAAATCGAGACATGCACCATTCATGAGGTTTGCTAGGGAGTGGAGTAAATATAATGTGATAGAGCGAGATTTGGAGAGTACATTGGGTACTGAAGTGCCTACCAGTCGAATCGTGCAGGACAGTTTTGACGACGTTTGCCGTATGACATGTTTCGTAATAGTAGATATTGTAGATGTTTCATCGAAAGTTGAATTTTCCAATGAAAAACCTATTTTCCCCGCACGCTCTCGAGGGGTCTGCTCTAGCAAAAAATTAACGAAAGCGGCTTGTGTTTGCGTCCAGCATATGGCGCTTCGACACTTCAAGAACTCAGAAGGTGCCTAGTCCAAATCTAGCCAAAGTGCATGTATTCGAAAGTCAACATTGGTTCTGGAAGCGCATTTACCGTGATCCGCAATGCTTTAAATGCGAATGGCGAATTTTATTACCGGGCGGACAGCGTGCCATTATCGTGCGGCGCGCGTATTTATCGTCCTTTCACCCCATTGTAGCGGGCACGCAGCCTCAGACGCTCTCCCGCGAAGCGGTTTTGACCGCGGCGCAGGGTCGATACGGCTGATCAGCTGTTCATCCGTCCGCTGCCACAGGAATTGGTGAGTCTTTGATAACTCCTTCATATTTTTGCTTGCAGGTTGTAACAAAAGGATGGGAGGTAAGTCGAGAAAGTCTTTAAGTTTATTTATAAGTAAAATCTTGATTCCTTGAACGAAAATAAAAAAAAAAACGGGCTGACATCGCGCTTAGATTGGATAGTCAGCTCTTTCAGCAAACAATGCACTTGTAAATAAACTCAAAAGACTTTCTCGACTCACCTTCCATCCTTTTTTTTGCAACCTGCAAGCAAAAAAATAAAGAAATAATCAAAACTTACCAATTCCTGTGGCAGCGGACGGATGGACAGCAGATCAGCCGTATCGACCCTGCGCAGCGGTCAAAACCGCTTCGCAGGAGAGCCTCTGAGGCTGCGTGCCCGCTACAATGGGGCGAAAGGACGATACTCGCGGCGCGCTTTCCAATTACTCGCGGCCCGCGCGCCATTTGACGGCCGGCGGCGGGGGACATGAGCGCACGCGCGCATATGGCGCACGCGCCGCCGCAGCGAGTGTCTGTATGTCGGGGGCGGGAGTCCGCCTCGCAACGACTCGCGCTGCTTTGCAGTTTGCGTCTCTTCATTCTAACCTCTCTCGCTGAACGTAGCGGTTTGGACGCGCTGCTCCATTTCGAAAGTTTCGCCTACTCCGGGTTGAAGAAACTGTAAATCTACTTGACTGGCTGCGCGGGCGCTCGCGTAGCGCGCTCGGACTTGGACTTGGTCAGGCTCGCTCGTCCTAACTCGGGGATTTGTGGTTGCGCATGTGATTTGGGACTGTGCTGAGGCCGGTCTTGATTTCCGGCCTTAGCACCTCCTTTGACCAACAGCGCGCCAAAAGGATCTATTTTTTTAGCTAGCGACGAACGTTCCATGGACCGCTATTAACGTCAACTCTAGTATCATTTCCTGAGTTCCACCAATTCATATTTTCATTTTGCTACTCCTGTTCATCTGATTCATGGTGTGCTTATGTTCATTTATATCATGTCGCAGCATCCTCATATTTGTCATCACTATATTTGTCAGTGTGCTATCACAGACCTCAATTTTATTCGCCCATCGAATTTCGAATTAAGTTGCTTTAATCACTTACTGTTGTTCGTTACTTGCGTTTCGTTTTTTTTTTGTTAGTAATAATAAAGCGTTTAATTACCCAAGTTTGAGTGACTCGTGTGGCATCCACTAATCGATGCAGCAGGAAGCCGTGAAGCCCATTTCCAACGAAGTAAGAAGGACTAACTCGAAAGATGGGAATCAAACTGACCTTCCCCTTCTACCTTGTCTTTTCTTTGTACTTTGATCTTTTGTCTTTTGAGTCTGGGGTCCCCGGTTTCCCTTAACCCTTCCCTGGGGCCAGCTCAGGGATTCTGTTGGAGCTCATTGGAAAGAATAGATGAAGACCACTGTTTAAAGATGTAGGCTCACATTCCTCACACAGTTTGGCACGCCACACCTGGCGGTTGTATTGAGGAGTCAAAAGAGAAGGGGGTCGTAATCGAGTAATACTGATAACAGTGATAACATTTTATTTGTAAACAATTTGTCGAATAACCCCGTTATGCAGAATACAGCAGATGAGATATTGATTTATCATTGTATACCTATCGTGGCACGATAAAGAGACCCTATCAAGCATAACGAGTCAAATACTCATGATTAGCATGTCAAATAGCCACTGTGGACTAAGTTTGAGCCTCAACCCAAATCATGAAGTTTCCAAATGCTGAACCACCAGAGTGAATGGTCATTTCCGAAAGCAGTTAACATTGTTTCAAAGGTAGATTGGATATCCTTTTAGGCACCAAATATATAGCACTACTCCTTGTTTGCCCACCTCAAAAATGCCGCTTCAAGAGACCTCCAAACTATGAAATAGAAGCCAACAAGAATCCTGTTTCTCCCATTTTTCGCTTTTGATGGCTGTATTTTCAGTAAGTATTACTCAGAGCAAAGAAGACGAATTAGCCCGAATCATTCCTGTGAGATCTAGGTCTAAGCTATCAAATCATTTGTATATTACTTGCTAAAAAATGTTTTTCAAGGTGAGTTAATGAGTTGTGCCACATTCCATCAACTATGTCACAAAACATTACTAGCAAACAATACTTGTATGAGTCTGTAGATCAAATCTCGTAGATTTCACAGGAATGATTCGGGCCTGATTCGTCTTTTTTGCTATGAGCAATAGTTACTAAAAATACAGCCATCAAAAGCGAAAAATGGGAGAAACAGTGATTTGGCTTTTAATTCCATAGTTGAGATCTCTTGAAGCAGGATTACTGAGATGAGCAAAAAAGGATTAGTGCTTGGTGCCAAAAGGGGTATTAAATCTAACTTTGAAACAAAGTTAATTGCGTTCAAAAATGACCATTCACTCTGGTGGCGCAGTATTTGAAAACTTCATAATTCACTCAAACTTGGTCCACAGTGGTTATTTGACATGTTAGTTATGCAGATATCACTTGCTATGCTTAGTAGGGCCTTCAATTTATGCATATCTATACATATATAAGTGTTGCTAAATTGTTAGTTAGTGTGTTCTTTATAGAAACTTTTGTGTGTAGACTCAGCGCGAAACTTGCACACATATGTTTTCGATGCCGGTCCACCCCGTAGGCTACTTTTCGCAGCGAAATTCCCGCTCCTATTGATTTCTCGATTTTGAAGAAAAATGAACTCCCTATAAACCATTTTATTAAACATATTCAACTCTCAGCCACAGCCGCAGCTTTTTAGAGGTGGTGCCACACCCCATTAACTTACCTTCAAACAGATCAAATAGCTGCGTTTTTCACAACGTTGTTACTGCTCAACCTTCTTCTTTAAATAACAGAAAGTTCATATAAAAACTGTTTTCAAAAGCAAAAGATAATTGTTTTTCCTTATCTATGCAAACGTAAAGTACTGGTAAAATACTGGTAAAATACTGCGAAAATATTGGAATACGGTAACATGCTAAGTCTGCGCTACTATATGAATCGCAAGGGAATGCGACAAGAGTGTATATATTAGATAGCATAAGCCTCGTAATCTACATTAAAATGATTTGAGCCTGATTGGTCTTCTCTAGCCTGAGATATTGAAAACGAAAAAGGGGAACAAACGAGATTTTGGTTTGCGCTTAACACGTTGACGACAGCGTGCATTTTTAGCTGCCTGCCTTGTGGTACAGTGCCTTCTACAGAGCGCTGAGTTTTTTTAAAGCTGAAATCAAGTAGGCCGTCATCTGCGGTATCCCTACAGTGATTCTGAGAAGCAGCTAAGAAAGGCGGAAGTATTAGGTTGTTGCATAAGTTCCGTCCGATTTTTTTGCCTCATGTTTGAAGCAGCTGTTCCAAAGAATTTCATCTCTAAGGCACCGGGCAGACTTCACGCGATTTGATCGTCGCGACTGAGTCGCGCGAGACAGCTGTTACAACATCATTCCATGCCGATCAACTTGCATTCGGTTGTGATACTTTTCCAGCCCGACATTTTTGAATGTGAAATGAAAATGAATAGAAATCTTGGCGATTAGATCGCGACGATTAAGTTGCGTGAAGTCTGACCGGGGCCTAATGCGGTAGTTTTAGTATCATTAGAAAGTGCTTTTCTTGTGCTTTCTAAAGCCTATCAAATTTCAATAAATTTCTTAGTGTAAGGAGATTTCAGGCCTAAAATCTCCAAGTGGCCGAGGTACGTTCTCACCCTAGAAATATGTTCTTGCGAGGAAATCCCCACAATGCGCCTTTCAAGTCAAGTTCTTTCATTGGTTGCGGAATAAGGGTGTAGAAGGTTAATATATGCCTAAGTTCGGTTCCTTGAAGAAAACATCTTGCTAGTGAAATTTGTCGTCGAACTTTAATTTTCTGTATAGATGTTTTACAAGCTATAACTTTCTGCGAATAGAAGTGTAATCAACGACTTCAAAGTTGCAGGTGCTAGGGCAAAGCAAGAGCTAGCAGAGCCCGTCTACCAATTCCTTTCCGGCGCTCACGTCAATTGTAAAATTTTCATAACTTGTAAATAGGCATGCACACATGCGCTGAAGCGAGGTCAAAAAGTGGCTAATT